AGACATCCTCATCAGAAACACAAAACATGGCTCACTGTTCCCTCACACACCAACTTGCTCCAGTCTCGGAGAAGTCCAGCCCTCGAGATTACATTATAAGTATTGGTCCATGTATAAATGTGGATCTATGCAGTCTCTATACAGTTGAGAATCCGTAAACTCTTGCAGTTCATCATCTCGTCGCTTGCTCGATTTCCCGTGAAGCCGCCCGTGGAGATTCAAAGCCTTTTTGATCATCCAGGATGCAGCTCTCCTCTTGCTCTTTGTGAGATCAACCTGAATGCACACCAAGCCCTCTGAACCCACCCCCATCCCTGGACACGTGCCGCACATGCAGCCAAACTTCTTCCCAGTTCCCGGCCACTGTCTTCAAAACCCACATCAAAGTGGGAATTCCAAGAAGGTTCCGGTGGCACACCAATCGTGGCATCACGACGGTCAGCAACTCCTCGGCTGCCGCCCCAAAATACACACCGAACCCTTACATAATGCACGCATTCACAAAGGTCTGTTTATCTATGTGTCTGTACAAAAAAAATATATGTATATATATATATATATATATACATATATATATATCTATATATCTATCTCCCCCCCCCCCCTTCCCCCCCCTTCCCCCCCTCCCCCCCCCCCCCCCCTCCCCCCCCCCCCCCCCCCCCCCCCCCCCCCCCCCCCCCCCCCCCCCCCCCCCCCCCCCCCCCCCCCCCCCCCCCCCCCCCCCCCCCCCCCCCCCCCCCCCCCCCCCCCCCCCCCCCCCCCCCCCCCCCCCCCTCCCCCCCCCCCCCCCCCCCCCCCCCCCCCCCCCCCCCCCCCCCCCCCCCCCCCCCCCCCCCCCCCCCCCCCCCCCCCCCCCCCCCCCCCCCCCCCCCCCCCCCCCCCCCCCCCCCCCCCCCCCCCCTATCCAAGCATACTTTACAAAAAGGTGCATATATAAGTACAAAAATGTAAATATATGGGTAAAGGTATATACATATGTAGGTGCACATATATATATATATATATGTATATAGATATATCGGCATACACACATATCCATCCCTGCCTTCGATTCCCTACGGAGGATCCCGGAGATGCATGCATGAACCTCAGCGCTATGTGTGTGTATATATATATGTACAAACATATGTACGTATATATATATATATATATATGTTATATAATCTCAAGTGCGGTTGTGCAGAACACACCAGTGTGTATAGACACGGGGCATGCAAATAGGGCAGAGCAACATCATGCCAATAAACGTATGCACAGTCTGTAAAAAACATATGATACATCACACCACCTTTGTCCGAGGCACCTTGTTTGCCTTGATGTGCGCACATGTGATGCTACCCTTGTCATCGGTAGCATCATCACCCTTCTTCTTCCCAGGTGGCTGGACCAAGAGGTCTCCGATGAGCGTCGCCCGAGCTTTCAACACTTTGCTGCTGGTGATATCCTTATAAGGCAGCATGAGCCAGATCAAGACATGAACTGTGGAGCAATAGCCCTGCAATGATTCTCAGCACTGCAGCAAAGTATATACCGATGTGAACTGGTGTTGGGCCAGCCCAAGGAAATTGAAAGCCGTACGGAAGTGTAATTCTTACAGGTTTGGGTCTATATGGGTCGCCATGACAACGATACACATAGAGATAAAGACATAGATGTACAGATATAGATGCAAAGGCACAAAGATATGGATACGGCGTATATGCAAATGTTATAAGTGCATATATATATATATATGTAATGATCTATGTATATAAACAGTTTGGGGTTGTATAGGCACATTTATAAAGCTTAAAGTTTCACGGGATGTGGCGTCCATGTGCAGCCGGTTTCGTTTCACACATCTAGATGCGCATCAAGCTGCTTCAACCAATGCAAACGCAGCCAAGTTGTCTTCCGGCTCCAACTTGTGGCCCGGATCGGTCGGCACATCTGTGCTGCTTGCAGCCATGACGTCCACGGAGCTAAAACCCTGAAAGTATGTGGTGCTCCCAGTGCTCCCAGTGGAAGTTCACACGGTATTGCCATACATATGTGCATATATGTATACAGACCAGCCATATGAGCATGTTCGCTTCGAGCCCTCGCTGTGCTGATTGCAGGTGCAACATGGCATAGCAGACATCAACACAGCAGCCCGAACATGCGACCAGCAATGCGGGCCCTTTCTTCTGTCGAACACTATACATGCCTGTAACATAAATGTATATACATATATGCACACACACCCATACACAAACACCGATATGCCTATACGTACGAACCTTTTTATATATACACATATAATCTGCCCGAACATGATGTATGAGTAAATGCGTGTGTCTACATATGTGTATATATATATATGCACGTACATGCACATACAAACAGATACATGCATATATGTACATATTATGTACTTTTATATCTACTTATATTTACCTACCGGCCTACCTACAGACATACATACATACATGTATATATCACACATATGTGTGTGCATATGTATGTGTTTATATAAATACCTAAACAATGTGTGTATATGTGCACACATATTGGCCCCTATATACACATGTCTTCTCAGAGGTGGGTATATATAGACACATACTATACATCTGTACTCGTTCGAATATATGACACACACCCCAAGCCAACCCGAAGACAAGGAACAACCTGAAGTCCCGTGCTCCTATACAGTCCGAACATGTTTTCGAATCAGCATCTGTGTATATAGACGTAAAGCCACACCCGTGCCGCCACGAACATGTCCGGTACTTGTACAATATGATTGAACCAGGGAAGCCAGCAGATGCGCCCACGAATAAGTTGCGATCGAGTGGCATTGTCACTGCCTCTTTCGTGAGCAGCATCATGGCGGAGAAAGAGCAGGTGGCGTTCTATATAAGAAAGGCCATTGGGAGAAGCAACTGCTTCTTTTGTTTGCATCCAAAGTGTTTCATCTTTATATAAAGCATCCATGTAGTGCCTTTGCAAGAAAGTATATAAAGATGTCCTTTGTAAGTTGTCCTCCAGAATGCTTGTAAGACATTCAACACTATGCTTGCATAGCGGATGGTGCACTGACAGTTCATAAAGTAGCTTAAGATGCAAGAACGGCAAGACATCATCGCCATATGCGGTTTGTCGCCACCTGACCCCGAGGCTTCAACATTCTGTACAAACTACCGTAATCATCATCACGAAACTTAAGCGGTTCAGGGTCATCAACCTTAAAACCTAAAAAAGTAGGTTTGCAAAACACGAACCCAAAAAAAACAAGGGCTTTCAATGACACGCTACGGAACCCAAAAAAAACAGCTCCAACCAATAATAAGTATGGCCTGGCCAAAAGGAACTACCTTCGGGCCCCAGGGTAAACTGCACTGATTGCTATTAAGCATGATAGGGTTTTAGTGGAAACCCATTGATTAAGTTTAAGCCTTCCGCGCAATCTCAGCGCTAGCTGCCGCAGAGTGCGCTGAGTTCGCACGCGGACTGCTGCTGCAGCAGTGTGTCTGATATCCGCAAGACGTCAATACGAAGCAGTCGGAGAAGGAGGAGCAGCCTCGCAGACTCTCTAAGTCTGGAGTCACAGTGGTGCTGACTGTTAGTTCGCGTTGGCCCCATGAGCTCACCGAAAGGACGGGGAGGTCATCTTGCAGTTTCTCTAGGGTTCTTTTGGGTTCCTGTAATACAAAAAATGCATGTTCTGGTTCCTTACTGTGAACATTGATGTTGGGAACGTAGATTCACGAAGAACTCATGAAGGCCGCCAATACCCCAAAAATCGGAAAAAGAGCGAAGACAAAGAGAACATCAGTTGTAGAACGAGCTCCAGGTCAGAACTTCGATCCCAAACCCTGCACCCCAAGCCTTATAAGACCTTGGTTTAGGGTTTAGGGTTTAACGTTTCCTTGCTGCCACACTACGGTATGGGCAGAACCTCATTTTCTTATGTGGTCTGCTGCGTCCGTGTAAACTCCAGACCGACCCGTTCCTGGTGGACAAACCCCACTGAGGTTTAAGGTTTAGGGTTTAGGGGCCAGATTTTTCGGATACCTCGTAGAACCATCAGTGGGCAGAAGGGTTCTTGCTGCAAGACCCATATAGAAAATCAGATTTGAGGATTGAAAGTTGAGCAGAGGCGATTCGCCATACATACATACAGACATACGTACAAACATACATATGTATACAATATCCTTCTATCCTTGTTATCCTCGTATAGCCCCCTACGATCGTATGATGATCTACCCCTTAACCAAATTCTACGTATGCAGCCCTCTATGCTATGGGTTAGACGATCTAGGGAGCAAAGCTGTAAACATGAACCAATAACCAATAAGCCCGCAATATGGCAAAGTTCGGCTGTCACGGTTCAGTCGGTCCCCCTTAGCCATTGGGACCACGACGCACGTGAAGCAATGTGTGCACGGCTTGGCTGCGCCATGAGACCATTTTGCATTCTTGAAAAGGTCCTTTGACCCCGTGGCCTCTTTGAAGCTGTAAACCGTTGAACAAACAACTGTAATTAAGCGATTAAGCGGCAACTATGCGTTGGGATGTCGCTTCATATCTATACCTACTGCCGTGAGGCACCAGATTCGGGACATGTGGGACGCTCTTAAAGTAAAAGCTAGAAAGTTGGAATATGATTATCCTAAGCCCTGTATGGTATTTTATAGGGTATCCTACCCTGAAACCATATTCCAACTTTCTGGAGTTCCCTTTGAAAGTAAGAGCTCCTCGTCAGATGCATCCGACTGTTCAGGGCTACTTACCTGGCGACAGCATTTCCTTATCCTGTGCCCCAAAGCCCTGCCCAATCATTCGGGTGGTTGTCAAAATAAGGGTCCCTTTTTGGGTCCCTAATATAATACGGCACCTAATATTTAGGGTACCCCATAAAGAGACCATAATTTTGACAACTACCCATTTGTTGGGTGTCGGGTACCACAAAAAGAGACCATAATTTTGACAACTACCCATTTGTTGGGTGTCGTAAGGCCCGGCAATCAGCTGAGGCTTGTTGATGCTCTTCCATCCGGAACCTCAGGCACCCTCAGAGGCCCGTCGGCATGCTTTTCGAGCTTGGCATTTCGTGGTCGGAGAAGCCGAAAATCCTCCAAGTCAAACCATCGACTGGGGCTCGATTTTTTGGGGGTCTGGGTTTGGGGGTCCCTACGCCTGAATGCAAGAAGACCGTTGAGTGACTCTGCCACGCTGTTTGGGGAGTTGACACGAGCGGAGCATTCCCCCTGGTCATCGGCGAGGTTCCGGGCTGGTACGGCTAGTGTTTCCATTGCCAGATTCAGTGCAGACGGTTGAGGCCACGTCCCCGAGGGATCATACACTGAATGGAGTTCGCCTTTCGGATGTGTATATATATATATATATATATATATATAATATTGATTTTGATATATATATATATATATATACATATATATATATATATATATATATATTATATTTTACATATAAGTGGTTGTCAATACTAGGGTCACTTTTTGAGTCCTTAGTATAATACGGCACCTAATAAATAGGGTACCCCAAAAAGGTGACCATAATTTCGACTCGACAACCACCCATATACATTACATATTTATATTTTTATATTTATATTTATATATATATGTATACAGTGTTGCATAACGCTGCATACTCGGTACATGGCTGGGTTTCAAATTCGGAATGCCCTTTACGAAAACCCCGAAGCCTCTTGCCGAAGAGCAAGAAAGCATGGACCCTAGCAACATGGTTCAGACACAGGCTGTCTAGCTGTAATGGTCAAGAAGTGACCTGATGATATTGCCGTGATGCAAAGCTCGGGCTTCACAACATGGTCGAAACTTGGTGAGAGATCTCGGGGTCATTGTTTGCCACAATTGCGTTACGCACTACCCTGCGGCATCCCGCGTCCTAACCCTTTGCGAACGTGTGGCAGTGTAGCTTTTTAGCCCCGGAAAGATGGAACATGCAAGTAATCAAGAGTCCTGGGGCTTAGAGTCCCCTTCCAGTTGTGCTATAGCCCTGTCTAATTACATGAAGAGGTCACGCGAAGTCGGGCTAAGGGTCCTCAGCCCCAAATTGTAGAACAACAGAACTCACATACAGAGAGCCTCCAACTCCAAAACCCTAAACCAAGACGATGGTTTTGGGTTTGGGGCAACCACAAACCTAAGAAAGTACGTCACCAAAAAAAGGACCCTCCTCAATGTTAATTCTAGTAAATTTCTTTCGGAGAAACCGCCAGGATTGCAAAGCCATCGTCAATGAGTTCTGGTCTGGGCTTGGACCTGCTGCCAAGGCGTGCACTTGCGTTTGGGGTTTCGGGTTGAGGTCGGACTTATTATGGTTGGGATTGTGTTCGCTATAGGCCCTTGGAGATATTCGTGAAGGTACTTGTTGGTACCACAAACCACTGCATGTCTTCATGTCTACGGCTCAAGCTTGCCAGTTGCCAGGTTCCCAACACTCCTTTGCAGTTCACAGGGCGGCCGGTCTTTTGGAACGTTGGAACGGGAGTGGGGGGGGGTGGGGGCTGTCTCTGCATTCCATCAGACTGTAGATATATTAGGAAGATTTCTCAGCTTGAGCATGAGCTTTGATTTAAGTTAAGGGTGTGAAATTGGGAGCGGGCTTCTAGTCTCAAGTATCCACGTGTTTAGCCCAATGATCCTTGAGCATTTGCTAGACTCCTCCAACATCATAAGATTGTTGAGACGTCTCGTCATTGGCTTTTTGCTGTGGCAGTTCTCTTTAAGCGGAATGCGTGTCTTTGTGTACTAGGTATTCTATTTATGGGTATGTGTGTGTGCGCGTTTGCTTACATTTCTGCATACATGCTGCAGTGAAGTTGTTGTACGTCAGGCTTCTTTGGTCGCCTTTCCAGAGTCTCTTCTATGCTTGATGCTTCAATGAACAGTCGTGTGTGGGGGTGGAACCGGTCACGCTCGCTTCGCAATATCTCGCTGAAATGCGCGTGGATGTGTCAGCCGGTGTTGGTACTCTGGATGACGGTAGACGGGTGCCCATTACAAGTTCAACACTCGGAGTATGCTACTATCTATGGTGATGGCATAGTAGCGAAAGTTGTGCTGCTGATGGTGTGCACAGCTGCACCTCTTACATCGAGAAGTCGAGCCGACAATGGAGTCACAGAAAAGGGCTGAAGCCAGACGGGCCCTCGAACGACTGTAATGCAGAGTCCTGGTCATCAAAACCTCCCCTGACAAGCAATCGAAACCATAACCCAGAGCTTTACAGGGCCCAGGGCTGTGACAGCATCATCTTCATCCCTCAGCCTCGAAGCCCTAAGTCCATGCCTCAACCTGAGTCCCCTGAGTCCCCCAAGTCCCAAGCTTTCACGCGTTCAGGCGGCTCTAGGGCTCAAACTCGAGAGTTTGCTGGCCGTGTGGCGGCCTTTGAGGGCTTTATGGGGCTTCAAGGATCCGTGGGGCCGAGCAAGCAGCTCACACGGAATATGGGACTTAAGCGGGTGATAAGAAAGAGGTGCCTTCACTTCGGCTGCAAGTTGATGAGGCTATAACTACCTTACTGTTGCTGGCCACTTTCAATTTTTCGCTGATCTTTGAGGAACCCATAATTCACTAGGGGCAGCAGGTTGCAAATCGCTTGACAAAGCATCTTCACTTTTGGGCTTTGCGCATCTGAGCTCGCAGTTTTGGCCCTTGGAGGGACATTGAAGGGAGAACCCTAAAGGAAGTCTTGGACCTGCGGCCTTTGGATTCTTTTGGTCGATGCGTCTGGAATCAGCGCCCTTTGTAGACTTTTGGGTGGGGTGTATTTCAAGGTGCAGAGGACTTAGTCTAAGCAGGGTTGGACTTAGCGTAGTGATTGCTGTACCCACTTTAGACTTATAACCCTACCTACTAATTCCCTCAACTTGCTAAACGGGGCCCGAGAGTGCATCTACAAGCTTTTCGGGCCAAGCTCTCAGGCAAAATCCCCTTTTTTTGGCACTGGAAAAGATGGGCTTTGGTAAATCGGGATTAATGGAACCGAATTGCAATCATGGCTCGCAGTTCTTGAGCCTCAGCCCTGGGCTCAAGGCGTTCTTTCGTGGAGGGTTCGAGTGCCGCGTCTGAGGTCTTGGGGGTAGGGTTAAAGGCTACAGCGCTACACTTTAGCATAGTGACATAGTGCACCACGACACCATATTCAAAGTATTAAGGCCTCCTATATCTTAAGGTTACGGTCCTTGCGTTACCTGTTTTCGGACTTAGGGATTGCAGGTGTAAGGGAACCTTTGCCGATGTCTGGCGCTCTTGTAGGTTTTTTTGAGGTCTGGCGTTGGGGCAATCAGGCCGTGTGGTCATCTGCGGACTCGACTTGCCATTTTTTGAGACGCTCCTGCAATTCGGTTATCCCTGCTTTTGTTGCCTCGCTGCTCTTTTTTCCTATGTGACCATGGTTCAGGAGTGCAAGAGTGGCGAGTGTTGAAGGGATCCCTTCCTGCTGCAAGATTGCTGTAGCATGCATTTTCAATGCTGTTTCTTACACGACATGAGAATAATGATCCGGTACTGGTACCAGTACGAATACCAAACCATGAACCCCGAAATCCCAAGCCAAGCCGTATCAAGGTGGCTGCTCAACTGCTTCGAGCACAGCGAGGACCGGGATCTGTGAGGGGTCAGCATGGCTTTGCATATTTATGTGGTTTACAGCAATTCTGGGTTTCTGGCATGCTTTACAAGGTTTAGTTTGCGGCATGTTTGACAGTGTTTATAGATTTTACAGTACAGGCAGAGCATGTAGGGGCCTCACACATGACCGAGGGCCTGTTTCTTTTAGGGTGTCCGTGTTGAATCCGGGGACGAAGTAAGCGGATTCATCGCCCTCATAAGCTCGTTGCATATCTACCATTTACCACCCAGCTCTAGTCCTTCATTTGTGTAGCTCCCTCAGTATCTACCGCAAGCGTCCTTTATTTCTCTTGTCTACACACCCCAAAGACCTCAGTCCAAGCAGGAGCTGGCGGCCTTCCCAAAGCCCTTTACATGATACCCTTAGCCTTAATCCGAGCCCTAACCGCTTGCTTGCGGACCTACATCAGCAAGAGTCGCTCATCCCGAACTCGTATCATCAACGGCGGCCCTTAATCCTAAGAGAGGCCTTCTTAAACCAAGAACACTGAATCCGTGATGCCCAACACCTCCTTCTACCGACAGCGAAGCTCCTTAAGCAAAGGAAGGTGGTGAACAAAGCCTGCTCCTTTCTTCAAGGCTTTTACTTTTCTGGAATAGCCAACTGTCCCAGAAAACCCAACAGGTCCAAGTACCAATTCGGTAGCTACTTAGTAGATATTTGGGCCCCACGAGTACGACGGCGACGGTCGTTTCACACAGCGACGCCTCTACGCACAGCGGCGTCTACGTATAGTTCGTTTGTACCGGCCTGTTACCCTACACCTGTATATATCTGCTGCCGGTTCGTTTGTTGACTGACGGCGCCTCGGGTCTTTTGGCTTCTTTGGGTTTCTCGAGGTTGGCCGTTGCTAGGTTCATTTCTGGGTGACATACGTTTGCAGAGGACTTCGTTCTAGACAGGGCAGTAGACTACGTATACCATTACTGGGACCCTTTGGGAAAGGAGCCGGTGGGCTTCTCCACCTTCTTCTTGCCGGCCTTTGTGTCTCACGACTGTCGGCCTAACTGCACCCTCTTGGCATGGCCTTGGGATGTGTTCGATTCGGAGGGGGGAGGGTTCAGGAAAAGTGGGATCCTTCGCAGCAAACCTTTTGTCGACCTGATTGGAGTTTTCGAGCACAGGTCTATGGCTCAGCAGGCTTTGTGGAGGGCTTCGGGGTTAAGGGCTGCTGCTGCTTAGCGGTGTGGGCCTGTATGTAGAGTATAGGGTTTGCTGATACAGTACGGTACAGTTGGGGATTCTAAATGAAAGGGGGATATGATATACTGACTTTTTCTGGCTTCTGTACAATAGTCGAAAGCTCTAGATTCGAGCCGTTGCCCTAGCGTGTCACCTGGAGCCATGAGTTATTGAACTCCCGCTCAGGTGAAAAGACATCGGATACTCTCTGATTGTGAGGTTGTGCGTGGGTGGTTGTCAAAATTTTGGTTCCTTTTTGGGTACCCTAAATAATAGGTGCCGTATTATAACAGGGACCCCAAAAGGGACCATAATTTGAGTACGTAGGACCTTTAGGTTCTATTTGGCGTAGGGCTTGCTCTGTGTCTTAATATATACTGTGTATATACGGAATTACAAATTTAAAGAATTTAAAACTTTAGAAAAGGGAGTAAATTCTTTAAATTTTGAAATCGTCCAGAATTAAAAATTTAAAGAATTTAGAAAATTTAAAGGAGGTAAATCCTTTAAATTTTTAAATCGTCCGGAATTAAAAACTTAAAGAATTTAAAATTTAAAAGGAGTAAATTCTTTAAATTCTTTAAATTTTGAAATCGTCCGGAATTAAAAATTTAAAGAATTTTAAGAATTTAAAGAATTTTGAAAATTCTTTAAATTCTTTAAATTTTGAAGTCGTCCGGAATTAAAAATTTAAAGAATTTAGAAAATTTAAAGGAAGTAAATCCTTTAAATTTTTAAATCGTCCGGAATTAAAAATACAAAGAATTTAAAGAATTTAATGAATTTTAGAAATTTAAATGTTCAGCTCCAGCCCCAGGCCCAGCCCCCCAGCCTCCGACCCCAGCCCACGGAATTTAATTTTTTAAATTCTTTAAATTTTGAAATCGTCCGGAATTACAAATTTAAAGAATCTAAAAAATTTAAAGGGTGTAAATCTTTTAAATTTTTAAATCGTCCGGAATTCAAAATTTAAAGAATCTAAAAATTAAAAAGGGCTAAATTCTTTAAACTCTTTAAATTTTGAAATCGTCCGGAATTAAAAATTTAAAGAATTTAAAGAATTTTAAAAATTTAAATGTTCAGCTCCAGCCCCAGCCCCAGCCCCCCAGCCTCCGACCCCAGCCCACGGAATTAAATCAAAAATATTCTTTAAAAATTTAAAAGTGCTAAATTCTTTAAATTCTTTAAATCTTGAAATCGTCCGGAATTAAAAATTTAAAGAATTTAAAGAATTAAAATAATTTTAAAAATTAATATGTGCCCCAGCCCCAGCCAGCTCCAGCCCCAGCCCCCCAGCCCCAGCCCAAGCCCCAGCCCCCAGGCCCGGCTGCAGCCCCAGCCAGTGCCCCTGGCCCCCACCCCAGTTGCCCCCAGCCCAGAACCTTTGCCCCAGCCCCAACCCGCCCCAGCTCCCACCTGGCACCCATCTCCAGCCAACACCAGCCCAGCCCCAGCCCCAACCCCCAGCCCTCACGCCCCAGCCTAGCAGCCACCCGCACGCCAGACTTTAGCGCAGCTCCGAATCTCAGTCCCCACCCCAGCCCCTCAATCCCAGCCCAAACCCAGCCTCCAGTGCCCCCTCCCCCAGCCCTAGCTCCCAACCCCCAGCCCTATCTTCAGGCCCAGCCCCCTCGCACGCCCAGGCCCCCATGTACATGAACATGTATCATACACAGAACAGTAGCCTTTTATTATTTATACATTCCGTCAGATCTTGCCAGCAACGTTTTTCTTGAACCTGTGTACTCATGTAGAAACGGACATGCAAGGTTCGCCTTTCATTCTTTTGTTGTTTTGTTTACTTTTTATCTTGTGGTGATGATGCTCTTGATGCTTGTGAGGGTAGTCTAGATACTGATGCTGTGTGATATCGACATGCTCATGAAACAACAATCCAGGTTCCTTCTGCCTGGCGCAGGCGAGTTTGCTTGTATGTTTTTGTAATTTATAGAAAGGTTCCTTAAACACAAGATAGTATTTTCCCGAGTCCATATGATAAATACTGTTATTACGGGTTTCCAGCCCCCCGTCAATTATATACAGAGGGGGGGCTAGAAGCTCTATTGTAACTAGATAGAAAATTTGCTTGAAGTTAATGCCGTGTAAGCATAAGAAATTGCTTCCAAAAATGAGTGGACCTGGCCTTGTCAGGCCCCAGGCGACTCCCCGGCAAGCGGCACCGGGTAAAGAAAACGCGCACGGGTGTGATTTTAATCTTCTAGACGGCATTAACTTAAGCATCTCTAATCCCTATACCCGAATTCTACAAAGGCACTCGTGTTCATGATGGCTCGTCCGATCTCTTTCTTGTTTTCATTCACTAACGTCCAAATACACAGAGCGAGCCTGTTGCGCTCACATCTCGAAGCTCACTTGATATCACAAGTCGCCAAGAAGCACTACGAGTTGGACGCCCGACAGCGAGTTCACCACGTTAAAGTGGGACGGCCGTCGTCAAGAATCCAAGCGAGCCGGCCGCCTCTAGGCGAGCCGGCTGCCCGCAAGACGACAGGCGAGCCGGCCGCCCTTAGGCGAGCCGGCCGCCCTTTGGCGAGCCGGCCGCCCCTAGGCGAGCCGGCCGCCCTTTGCCCCTAGGCGAAGCCGAAGGCATTTGTCTTGCTTAAGAAAACAAAACTTTGACACCAATTTTATTCTGAGGTGATGAACCTCAAAAAGATCAAGGCCGGCCCTGCCTTCTTGTGTTCGACTGTTGTTGTTTAAACGGAAATACTGAGGTCGTCCCGCGGGCTCCCAAAGGGTCCGTGGGCAGACTGGTGCGCTCAAAGCGGCGAGATGTTGGAATCCAATGCTGTATGGTGGAGCTCTTAGATTTTTTATGTTGCCAAAATGCGGTGTCGTTTAAATGAACGCCCAGGTGCCTTTGCGGCCGCTCTTTCCGCCAACGAAGGCGAAACAAACTTTTCCAACTTATGTTTTATTTTTCTTGCAAATCTGTCAGGAGACCATGGATTCGGAGCCCTTCGACAAGGAGGCGAAACAGCCAGTGTTCCTTTTGTACTTTCTTTTGCAAAACTATCAGGACGTCATCAACGTGGAAAACGATCACTGTGACAAGGAGACGAAACAGCCAGTTTTTTTTTCATCCTTTTTTGTAAACCTGTCAGGAGACCATGGAATCGGAGCCCTTCGACAAGGAGACGAAACAGTCAGTTTTACTTTTTACTCCTTTTTGCAACACTATCAGGAAATCATCTTCGACCCGGAGACCCTCGAATTCTGCGGACAGGAGAAGAAGCAGTCAGTTTTACGGTGTTTACGTTTCTGTTTTTATTAGACTTGACTGGATGTGTAGGACGAGTTCGGCCAAATGATTGACAGTGTGGGGGCAATCCACTTAGAGTGACTGCTTCGCGGTCTAGGTTCCTGAGTAGACCCATTATGATAAGGTATCCTTTTTGATACTCTTGGGTTGAACCCTAAAACAAAAAGGGCAAGAGGGTACCACTCAGGAACCAAGCGGTTTAGGGTTTACAACACAAGCAGCAGCACCAGCAGCAACACTAGCACCAGCACAAGCAACGCCGGCACTAGCACAAACAGCACACGCAGCGCAGGACGAACGTGCCAAACGGATTGCCTGCCGCTTAAAAAAAAATAACTTAACTAAGTTACCGTAAGATTCCTTAGGCGTAGGCCGGGGTAAAGCGGCAGAGCAATTCGTTTAGCCCTAACCGGAGTGGTCAAAAGTATTGCAAGGCCGGAGAGCTTGAGCTGAGGCCCAGGGGCCTTTATGAGGGTGTAGAACTTTGGATCGGTTTGGAGTTTAGGGTTTAAAGGGTTGGGGCTTTTAGGGTTTAGGGTTTGGGGTGTCAGAGTTTATGTGGGTTTAGGGTTTGGGTTTTGGGGTTCAGCGTTTGGGGTTTTGGTTTTAGGGCTTATAGGCTTTAGCAAGTTTTATGAGATGTTGCAAACCCGAACACCCTGAAGACATGAACTTTAAACCTGCTAAACCCTAAATCCGCAACCGTAAACCCTTTTCCGCGAAGCCTGAAGTTCCCCCAGCCAAAGATCCCGAATCCTGCTTCCTCCCATCAACACGACTCATGAATACGGTTGGTCAAAATCCTGCATGACCCTTATAAGGAATATGCCATAATTCCCATAGTTTGGGGTACTTAAGGTAAAGCAGGATCTTGGCCATCAACAGTATTCGGGGCCGGCATAATTGGGATGATTCTTCTTATGTCAATGTGTTGCAACTACTGTGAAAGATAACCTCCGCCTCCACACCCGGCTCTCATCAATAAGTCCCTGTATAAAACGCGGTTGCCCTTGTTCTTCAACTCCGCTTTCTCAAAGACGCACAGATTCCCTGTGGTTCAGGCCCTAAACCTTAAACCCGAAGCCCTTAATCAAGGTTTGGTTTAGGGCTTCAGGGCATTAAGCATTCCCGTGACTTCAAACGACTAACTGACTGGGTGGGTATCCTTTATCTAACCTGCTGGGGTTCATATGATCCTACGAGAATTTATGAGTCTTATGAGGTTAACCTTTTTTGGGCTGGGGTATTCAGCCTGCCTCGAAGATAACATAGGATAACCTACCTTTGTTAGGGTTTCCCGCTGTGATTTCCTAATATGAGTCCTGAGAACGATCAGCTTTAGGGATCCAGGATGTCAAGTAATCTTCCTTGACTTCCATTGAGGCACTTAGCATGATTGTGAGTATACTGGATTCTAGATTGATTTCGTATCGCACAAATACTGTACTGGGTCCCGGGGCTATCTCGTATCACCTGGGTGTTTTACGCATCTGCACGGCGTCTAGTTGGGGGAACGCATTGTAGACGTTACATCATATTATCAAGCTGTATCTCTGCACGTTCATATTCATCGGCGTCTGCAGCACGCACTCGCATTTGCTAGTCTCCGTGGGCGTGTGTGCTTCCATCTTCGCACGAGTGTGTGCTTGTGTATGTGTGCGTATGTGCATGCACAGTATACATTTGCATATGCATATTGCTGTTTCCAGAAACCCTCATAAAATAGCTGACGTTTGATGACATTTGGGCTGCTCCAAATCCCAGCGTCTGCGACGCAAACGCTATGATTTCCTATCTTGCAATGCTCGAAAATGTAGTATTTACCTCAGCGTCCGCGACGAATCCGGCACTCCGGCCTATCTGCTGCGTGCTTTTTGAAACCAGCGTCTACTTGGGGGTTAGATAGTTCTGATGTGTAATTTCCCCGCTGATGTGTATTCTCCCTAAACCAGCGTCTGCCAGCATTGATGTGTATTCTCACCAACTGATGTGAGATAATCCACCACCGAGGGGGCCGGTACTAGAGGTTTATTCATTACCAGGGGTGCCGTAATGCCATGCAACTGTGAAACACCTCCTCTATTCATTTCCGTGCTCCTAAGGAATCAACAGGGCTAAATGTATAAATGAGGGAGGGCCTAGTATTCGTTGTATGGGAGCGGGGATACCTCAATAAATTGTTGCTTTGATCTCTTGGGAAGGATGTTGGGTCTGGGGAGATCAGAGGAAGGATTTCTGCTTGCAAAACAAGTCCCGAAAGCATTTCGGGACGCTCGTGGCGAACTGCCGCGACTCGTGCTTGGAACTCTTCGAGGCTGGCTGACAAGATCTATGCCACATATATATGTAGCATGGGCCTTTATGTATAATTAAACAATAGTCATATATAGGTATTTGTATGTAAAACAACAGGGATCGCCAAATAACACCTACAGGTCCATGCCACATAATTTTGACAACCACCACATGTTAGGTGGAACTCCATAAAATCGGTGTGTTGATTTAGATCTCCGTTCGCGCACGGTGGCTCCTACAACTCCCATGTCCCCAGCTGGGGTGCAATTCAAACCCATTCAAACCCAAATCGTAGATGTCTGGTCGCTAGGTAGAGTAGTTAAGTTGCACTCATTCTTGGTTCTTGTTCAGCAGTCTTTGCGTATAGCCCAGAAAGCCCGTCGAAGGCATGTGGCACTACGAGGGCGACTCCTTCGTGATGCGAGCAAGGCAAGCAGCTCCAAAGAGGGAGGGGGGAGAGCAGGTGCCTTCTCTATGGGTCCTTGTAGTCAGGATCCTGGAGCGTCCCTGCAGCTCCCAGCACACTGAATAAGAAAGTGATACTAACACTTACAGCTGTCCCGGCGTTCAGGTCAACTTTTGCCCCACGTGAAAGACCTGCGCTTGCTGATCGCAGTTGAGGGTCGAAGCTTGAGAGCCTGACCGGTGGGAGTCTTGATTTGATACGGAGAAAAGGATGTCAGGGTATACTGTGGCAATCTTCTGTACATCGGGGCTATATATGGGGATACTAAAGCTATTGAGGGTTTTTGTTGTCGGTGTTGCGGGGCCTGGTAGGCGCATCAAGAACCTTGCAAATTGGGTGTCTTTGAGTCAGAAATGTCTGCCAGTTGCTGTCAAAGGCCGGATAGCCGAACTGCTAAATTCGAGGTTTAGTCTTGACTCTTGAAGGAGGCAATCACAGGTGGAACATTCTAAGCAACCTGCACCAAACCCCTATGTTACCCTCTTAGAACTCTTACATAAGCTGTAAGTCCACTTTGCACCCTCAACCTGCACATCCACCGGAATCAGGAGGGACATTCCGCAGGGCGAGGAGATTACAGTGTCGCCAGCTCGGTGAGTTGAACCCGATGCCCCCCCCGGAAGCAGAAAGGTTTCTGAAGCATATGTAATAATCATAATCCCCCTAGAGTCCAGTATTCTCACCAGAATAAGGCTAGGATCCGACTTTCCCCGTTTTCGGATACATGGATCAAGGAGGATTTCTGCACACCGTTCCAGGGTTTCGTATTCTTGGCTCTGGGTGGTTGCGGTCGTCCATTACGTATTGAAGTATAACAATACATAACAGGATACCATGGGGGGGAGGGGGGGAAGCCCTTAGGATCTGTAAGCGCTTCCGCCTGAGCCTTGCTCAGCATTTGACTCCAAACTCTGAGCCCTCAACTCCGCATAACTCCGCAACGCAACGCTCTAAACCTCAAGCCCCAAAAGCCTGAAAGCAACCCCTGCCCACAAAGCCCGAAAAGCAGCCCTAAGCTGCCCGCAAGAAAGCCCCCAAAAGGTCTTACCTCGCCGAAGAGAGCCTCCTGGAATCCACGGCCAGCCGCCGATCCCAGCTTGAGGTGCGCACCCCTCGGGGGGATAGGGATCAAAAAAAAAATAAAAAAGGATCAAAAAACAAATAAAAAGGGATCAAGAAGAAAATAAAAAAGGATCAAAAACAAAATAACCGCTCAATCAGAAGCTAGGCTTCCTGGTCCTCTGGTCCCCTGGTCCTCTGGTCCCCTGGTCCTCTGGTTCCCTGGTCCTCTGGTCCCCTGGTCCTCTTGTACTCTTGAATCCGTGCAAATACACACAAAAACTTTGCAAATACACAGTAAATTTGTGCAAATACACACTAAATGTGTGCAAACACACACTACATGTGTGCAAATACACACTAAATCCGTGCAAATACACAGTAAATGTGTACAAATACACACCATATGTGTACAAATACACACTAAATGTGTACAAATACACACTAAATGTGTACAAATACACACTAAATGTGTGCAAATACACACTAAATGTGTACAAATACACACTAAATGTGTGCAAATACACACTAAATGTGTACAAATACACACTGAATGTGTACAAATACACACTAAATGTGTACAAATACACATTAAATGTGTACAAATACACACTAAATGTGTACAAATACACACTAAATGTGTACAAATACACACTAAATGTGTGCAAATACACACTAAATGTGTACAAATACACACTAAATGTGTGCAAATGCACACTAAATGTCTGCAAATACACACTGTGCAAAAATGCACACTAAATCTGTGCAAACACACACTACATGTGTGCAAATACACACTAAACTAAACCCGTGCAAATACACACAAAATCCGTGCAAATACACACTAAATGTGTGCAAATACACACAAAATGTCTGCAAATACACACTAAATCCGTGCAATACACACTATATGTGTACAAATACACAGTAAATGTGTAGAAATACATATTAAATTTTGAGTAAATGTGTGCAAATACACACTAAATGTGCACACACACACACACACACACACACACTACATGTGTGCAAATACACACTACATGTGTGCAAATACACACTAGATGTGTACAAATACGCATTAAATGTATACAAATACACACTAACTGTGTGCAAATACACACTATATAAATGTGTGCAAATACACACTACATGTGTACAAATAATAAATGTGTGCAAATACACACCAAATCCGTGCAAATACACACTAAATGTGTGCAAATACACTAAATCCGTGCAAATACACACTAAATGTGTACAAATACACACTAACTGTGCACAAATACACACTACATGTGTACAAATACACACTAGATGTGTGCAAATACACACAAAATCCGCGCAAATACACACTAGATGTGTGCAAATACACACCAAATCCGCGCAAATACACACTAAATCCGTGCAAATACGCACTAAATCCGTGCAAATACACACTAAATGTGTGCAAACACACACTTATAAAGTGTGCAAACACACACTACATGTGTGCAAATACACATTAAATCCGTGCAAATACACACAAAACCTATGCAAATACACATAAATGTGTGCAAATCCGTGCAAATACACACAAAATCCGTGCAAATACACAGTAAATCCGTGCAAATACACAGTAAATGTGTACAAATACACACCATATGTGTACAAATACACACTAAATGTGTACAAATACACACTAAATGTGTACAAATACACACTAAATGTGTGCAAATACACACTAAATGTGTACAAATACACACTAAAAGTGTACAAATACACACTAAATGTATACAAATACACACTAAATGCGTGCAAATACACACCAAATGTGTACAAAAATACACACTAAATCCGTGCAAATACACACTACATGTGTGCAAACACACACTAAATGTGTGCAAACACACACTACATGTGTGCAAATACACATTAAATCCGTGCAAATACACGCAAAACCCTTGCAAATACACACTAATGTGTGCAAATACACACTAAATGTGTGCAAATACACACTAAATGTGTGCAAACACACACCACATGTGTGCAAATACACACTAAATCCGTGCAAATACACACTAAATCCGTGCAAATACACTCTAAATCCGTGCAAATACACAGTAAATGTGTACAAATACACACCATATGTGCACAAATACACACTCAATGTCTACAAATACATACACACTAAATGTGTACAAATACACACTAAATGTGTACAAATACACACTAAATGTGTACAAATACACACTAAATGCGTGCAAATACGCACTAAATGTGTACAAATACACACTAAATTCACTAAATGTGTACAAATACACACTAAATGTGTGCAAATACACACTAAATGTGTGCAAATACACATTAAATGTGTGCAAACACACACTACATGTGTGCAAATACACACGAAATCCGTGCAAATACAGACAAAATCCACAGTAAATGTGTGCAAATACACATTAAATGTGTACAAATACACAACACATTTGTGCAAATACACACTAAATGTGTGCAAATACACACAAAATCCGTGCAAATACACGCAAAATCTGTGCAAACACACACAAAATGTGTGCAAATACACACTAAATCCGTGCAAATACACACTTTTTGTTTCCACATTTATTTTTATATTGATCCCTTTTTATTTTTTTTTTGATCCTGAATTGTTTATTTTTTTTTTGATCCCTTTTTATTTTTTTTTTGATCCGGCAGCCCTCGGGCGCCTCCTATGGCCTCGAGGTACAAAAAAAAATCACTTTTGGTTAGTAGGGAATAGGGCTCCTTTAAAGGGATCTATAGGGGGTCTTCAGGGTTCCTTTAAAGGGATCTTTTCCTTTGATTAGTAGGGAATGAAAGGGGCCTTATAAGGGATCTATAAGGGTACTATAATATAGGGGCCTTAATAATCCTATAACTTACCTTTGGTTAGTAGGGAATGGAGGAATGGGGTACCGTTATAACTACTATTACTACCAGTCTTTCATTCCTTACTGACCAAAGCTTCTGGGTTTCCATGCGTAGTGGCATCATAAGCACTGTTCCTGACGCATTTAACCTAGAGTCGGAATCCTTCAACCCCCTACAGTAGCCCAAAACCCTAAACCCAACTAGATGCCTTTAGACTTGTGTAATAGAGCGGTTTGGACAGACTTTAACCAAAACGCACCAACATGGTATTGGGAATTATTTAGGCTCCTAAGGGGTTCACGAGACTACAGATAAGGAGGCCCCAAAAATAGTCTTGCTAATTCCTTTCTTAGCAATAGTATGGATCTCAAGTCATAGTGATCATCTTTGCAACACGTTTAGGGCAGAGGTTTGAGGCTCTATGTCGGTTCATAGGTTCATCGGATACCTCACGGCTAGTAGAATCAGCCGAAGCGCTTGAGAGGCAACGAAGCACTTCCTCTGCAACTGCGCCACGTGCTCGCAGGCAACGCGGACTGTAACAGCTGTTCAAGGGAATGCTGCGCTATCTTCACCGTCTCTGGATTTTCAGGGAAGGGTCCGACGGCAAAGATGAAGCTCGAAGACACTACGACAAACGTGAGAGACGACGGATCCTTCACCCCAACCTTTCCGCCTTGCTTCAGCTGATAAGGACAACCAGCCAGATGCCAGCCAACCGTTGACCCACGCCTGAAAAGCATTTAGTCAAGCCCGGCAGTACTTCAGGGTTCCTAGACTGAGTCAAAGACCCTGAACATCGAACCATCCAACCTAAGAGCCCCAGTTCGACTTCGCTTGCCTTTTCTGGAGGTCCGCAGTTGCTTTTTAACCCTATATGAGCCCGATATACAGCAGCACTACTCCCTGGTGCCCACAGAACCCCCCAGAAGAGTTGAAAGCCGTCATGCCAAGACCATCAACCCTCAACTGCCCTGCACGCCCTTCACATCGCCAGGCGCTGGATCCCGTTCGTGGTTTCCGCTGCCCAGGCCTGGACTACCAGCTGGTTCAAGGGTGTCTTATTCTTGTGTCCTTAGGCCTTTGTTGGTCTAGTTCGAATGGAAAATCCCAAAAAAGCCCCCGAAGCCATGCCCTCCGACCTGGAACCTTCAGGCCCCCAAGCCACGCTCCAAGACCTTTAGGCCTCGAGTCGTAGCCCCTGTCCTCAGGACCCCCAGCAGCATCCGTCACCCGTCTGTTTGGTTTCTTTTGAAGAAGAAGGTTACCCTGATTCACAAGGAATGGCTGAGGCGAAGGCCGAAAACGCACGTAAATCCGAGCCTCTCTGTCTCATACCAAGCTCCTGGCGCAAGAAATCTGAAGCCCAAGCCGTTGACCAGCAACGGCTTCGGCGCTTCAGGGACCGCGGCTTGTGGAGATTCGGGCTTAGAGGTTTAGGAAGCAGTCGGGCAGTTTCGGTGTGCAGGCTGCGGCAAGGGTGACATATTCCTCGAGATGGTGATGGGATCCCTGCAGCTGCTTGGGCTGAGATGTGTCTAGGTCTTCATCGCGAAAGCGCAGTTCTTCGGCTTATGTAGGTTCGGGATCACGTTCTCACAAGCACTAGGTTGTATCCATGCCTTCAGGTTAATTTCGAGTTCGGTCTCACGTCCGTTATGGCCTGAGCACGGAAGTGTCACTGTTGATGCTTGAACCGTCTTGACTCATAGCCCTCAAAGGTCAAGCGCACCAAAGGCACCAAGCAATTGATCGCAAGGTCATACAAAAGCCGCACAGCCACTAAACCGAGCCCGATAAGCGCCCGATTATGCCACAGAGGGCACCACGACGACCAAGAAGACCACGAGCAACAGGACCAAGCGACGAGCATCACAAACAGTAAACAGGACCACAGCGACAGCCAGGACACCAGGAGATCACCCGTGGACGACAGAGACCACCAGAACAGCACGGTCAACATGCTTGCGGACAGACCAACATGCTTCCCCTCATGTACTGGCGGGATTCTGAATGCTTCCTCCCATGTACTGGTATCACCGCCGTACTTCCCCACGCATACGGTGCGCCTCCCGCGAAATGAAAGGATGCATATCGCTTTACATACCATGTACCCATAGTTTCCGGAAAATCCCTGAGCCCTGTTATCCCCAGACTTCGAGCCCTTTCTGAGGCCGAGCACCCAGGGCGCTTGTGGGGTCTGCGGCTTCCAGCCAACGGAGGCGCAAGCCAAAGAGATGATCGACCAGGAGGCCAGGAGGTTCCCCAAATTTTGTCGCCGGGGTTTTGTCCATCTTTAAATGCACTTTCAACCTCCCCTGAACTCTCAGCCCTGATACCGTAAACGCTGAACCACCCCCACACCCTGAAATGCAAAACCCCCTGAAGAGCCGACACAGGCTCGCGTAGAAGAGCCGGGCGCTCGACTTCTGCATTGAATCCTGGAAAGAACAGCGAGAGTACAAGCCTCCCTGGCGAAGCACTGTTTGCCAAGTGTTTCCCCGCCAAGCAAAAGCTGGGTCCAGGTGATTCCAGGTGCTTGAGTAAGGAAACTCCCGTGAACACACTCGGAGTGGAGAAGTGAGTTCAAAAGCCTCCGAGGTGTGTCCAGGAGTGGGATCGCAAGGTGAATAACGCCGCGACCTACCTGCCACAGGACGCAGTTCTCGAGTTCATCGGAAAAACTCTCGAAATAAGGTGTATAAACCCTAAACCCTAATAGCCCTAAACCCTAATTACCCTAAATATGGTCGGGCTGCATCGGGCCTGAGTGCCTGTGACTCCAAGCATGAGGCCCACATTCCCCAGAGCTCCCCAGAGTGAATCGGAAGGTCTTGTGATCGAAGCAATAAAGCCAGACAACGAGACTACGTGATGCAGGAGGAGGCTGATTCCCCATGTAGATACCAATCCCCCACAGGACCGTGCAGCAGTCTGCAAGGAAAGCAGTGGAAGACTTTTTCGTGCGTCCTGACATCACGGTACAGAGGACACAGCCCTGCGCCTTGAAAAGAACATGGCCGGGCTCTTTGCAGATGGCCACTGGCTCCGCGATCGGGTTGCAAGGCCACGTGAGTAGTACCCTAAATACTGGGATCCTTACTTTAAGGACCCCCAAATAAGGTACCCCTAATTACACATGCCCCCCCGCGAGCCTGTGCAGTCAAAACTCTGCTGCGGCGGTAGATTTCGATGTAGGAGTTTCCGAAAATAGGGGACCCTAATATGGTACCCCAAATAGTAGGATCCTTATTATAAGGCCCCAAAATAAGGTACCCCTAATTTTCGGAAACTCCCATGTCGATCTCATCCCACGGTCACGCCCCTCGTTGCAGGCACCTGGTCAGCTTCTACGAGGCTCGTGGAATTAACAACTAAAGCCCTTAACCCCAAGAAGCCTATACCCCTAAACCCGAAAGCCCTGAACCCCAAGAAGCCTAGGCCTATACCCCTAAACCCTAAAGCCTTTAACCCCAAGAAGCCTTTACCCCTAAACCCTAAAGCCCTTAACCCCAAGACCCCGAAAAAATCCCGCCGACTTACTCTCGGAGGCGTTGGGAGCCGCCGAGGAGGCCCTTTCCTTCGCCACGCGCTGCGTGGACTTCGCTGCCAAGGCAGTTTTCTGAATCTCCGGCGCGTTCTCTCCCAGGGTTTCTATATGCGGGTAGAGAGAGAGGGGCATGACTAGGGCCTTAGAGCATATTATGACTGTTACATGGTTTAGTTTGATCTATGTCATCTATGTGAGTGGCAAGGTGGGGGAGTGTCCGAGCTCCTGCCGCCGCCACATGAGTCTACGAAAACCTTTTGCAGAAACCCTGACTGTCTTTGAGGGTGCTGTTTCGGACAGATCGCCAGAAAGGTTGTTGCTTCTTAGAGGTTCCACGATGCCAGGTTCTTTCTTTCGGTACGAAAGCCTCAGCAACTCTGTAACACCAAGAAGTTCCTGTAATCACCCTCAATGCCATCTTAGTCCTAGCCTTTGTCTGCAGTTGCTTCTGCTTTCGGGTTGGGCTTTGCATACCTGAAGATTTCACATTTGGCGCTGAAAGGGCCCTGAGGGCGAGGCTCCCATTGAAGTAGTTGCACTCCCTTTATCAGATCAGGAGTTCCCCCCCCCCGGGTCGGGATCGGATCCGGGTCCTTGGCAAAGTGGAATCATGGGACAGGTGTATCCTGGCTTCAGCGCTCTTCACGCTTGGTCCCTTGAGACACAGGCCAGCGAAGTCGAATCAAGTTTGTAAGTAAGCGAGAGTCTACGTAGTTGTGGGCCCCAGAGATTGGGCTGGGTGGTGTATCCTTTCCGGCGCGATTCCCCCGTGATTCCCATGACAATTCTTACTACTGTTATCAGTATGTTCATGCTTGTTTTTGTTCTTATTAGTATAATAATGCTGTTCTTACCCTATACAGCCTGGCGACGAAGAAAGGAGCAAGGAGGTCGTAGTGGCACCAAGAGTTTCCTGGGGCTTTGGATGGCTCCTAGTCAGCTCCAAGTTATTCATCAGCGGTTCGTGTGTTACACTTTGTTCACGTCTTCAGGGGTCGATAGGATCGTTTAAGGTTTCCAACATACGGTTCTAAGTTATAAGATCTGATACGTACCGTAGTTGAAGTGTAGATACTATGAGGGCTTGAGGGATCTGGAGTCCAAGCATGGAGCCTTGGGACCGAAGTGTTATCAACCTTGCGCCCTGTCGCGAAAAAATTAGGTCCCAGTACACCTCTAAGTGAAACAGACTGTAGCCTGAGCCCGAAGACTCATGTACCAAACCATGGACGGCCCTAAACCCTGGAATATACCTCGGCCTTGTCCAGGGCCTGACAAACAAGGCTGTCGCCAGGGCATGAAAGCAGCCCATTCTGGGGGCGAAAAACCCTCTCTGGATCCGGCGAATAAAGCCCTATCGTAAACGATCTGGATTCTCCGGATGGCATCAGGCCCTTCTAGTAACCCTTGTAGAACCATAGTTGCCCTTATTGACTTATGTAAACCCTTATAGGAAAGCCCATGAAACTCCTCCAGGGCGACCTGATTCTCCGGGTGGCGGGCTTCGGCGTTGGTCCGGACCACGTCGAAGCGCCAGGCGCCGGTTTCTCCCGGCTTTTCTGTTCGCGACTCTTTGCGGTCTGCAAGTTTAGGGCACAAAACGGCGTTCAACCCATTACTCAGGGTTCGTGAAAGCTGCAGGATAGAGGGAGTTTTTGTGCAGGCGCGGTTGTACCTGGCTCCGGAGAGCTTTAGAACCGACTCCCCGTCTCCGTCGCTGCCAAAAGCCAGACACTCATTTCAAGACAAAAACAGGCGGTGCCTGGCACAGGGGCCAGGGTGGATGCTTCAGCTCTCCGAAGTGTCAGGCTCCGTGGATGCCGAAGTCTGCCGCGAGGTGGCCTGGGGAGGGAAAGGGAAGCGCTGAAGTCTCTCCCTAGACCTATAGATTTCCGGCCTTGAAGCCAGGTGACCGGGGTCTACAGCGAGGCTGCAGAAGCCTTGCGGGCACTCTTCGGCGCGGACCACGAGTTCTATGCTGCCAGGATGCCACTAAAGAGGGCTGTGGGGTTTGGGCTTCAGGGGCGCTCAGGGGCTCAGGGGCACGCCATGCAGCCACAGATTTAGATCTGAGAGGGTCATGTATGCCATAACGCCATAACAGCACAAATGCTCAAGGTTGCCATCCGTGACAAGCGAGACGCCCTGCGCGAGCTCTGCACCGCCAATGGGCGGCAGAGCCCGAAAGATGCATCTCGGCATAATATGATGAAACTATCGGGCAGTAGCGGGATCCTATTAGAAGTACCCTTGAACAACGTCTCCAAGGTTTCTGAACCCCTTAGTCTTACCCTGAATGTCTCTTTGAGCTTCTGGAGGCCCTTCGGCTTTGGAGGTAGAAACAGGCATAGCTTCTGCAATTTAACGAGGCGTTCATTTTGCCAGAGCTCGCTTCTCTGTCTCTGTGACCACCCTCAAGCCGAAGCTTACCCAGAGGCCCCATGGTAGTTCCTTGTTGGGGTTACCTCAGAAGGTTCGAAATATGAAACCCAAAAGGGAACTACTTTGGGGCGCTAGGGTAAACCTCCAAGAAATCCCAACCTTACACCCCCAATTCCGAAGGCCAGGAAGCTAGATGCTCTGTGACTGAGGTGACCAACCGTGCGAAGCCGGAAGAGACCTGGTGAAATGCAGAGTCGAAAAAGAACGTTGGTGTTCAGCGGGTGTCTGTTTGAGGGATGCTGCGCCTCAAAACGAACTAAAAACTTAAGTAGTTGTTGTAAGTTCTAACATCCACGGTTGCTGGACCGGGCCGAGACAGCAAGCATCGTGGTTCAGTGATTTGGGCCTGGTTTCCTTCTGCGATTGAGATTTCCGGGGGGGGGCATTTCGGAGTTGTACTAGGGGTGCGGCTCCAGGGTCTTAGAGTTTGCGTCCATCCCCCAGACTCAACTGGGAGTTTCCGAAAAGAGGGGATCCTAATTTAGTACTAAATAGTAGGATCCTTATGATGAGGGTCCCAAAATAAGGTACCCCCGAATTTTCCGAAACCCCCCAAATCCCCAAATGCGTCATCGACTGAACCGTTACCCTGAACCCCATAAGTTAGAATCCGAAGCCTGAAGCCATAGATTTTCAGCCTGCACCGGCTAGTTAGTTCCTTGAGGTCCATGGAAGAGGAACGTCATCTTTGAATTCCTTTCCGGCGAACCCGAAACCCTAAACCCATCCAAACCCCAAGCGCCAAAGCTTTAAGCCTTGAGAGTCACGCTTCATGGATCCTTCCAGTAACGAAATTTCATTATCGGAGCTTACAATTGCTCAAAACGGGACCATGAACGTTCCGCAGCCACCAAGCCCTGACAGTTTGCCGGTTTGGGGTGCTTTTTTGGCTGTAGCGCGAGACACCAGTGTCTAACTCAGCAGCCCTTTCACCCTTTCAGTGGAGGGTAGGGCATTGCAACAGTACTTCCGTAAGAAGGCCTTGTTTGCTCCTTGTTAGGGTCAACATTAGAGCCTTTAGGTTTGTATAGAGTTCAGGGATTCGCTGTTGGGGAAGATATTGGGAAGTAAATTGCTTCTTCGCAGAGAGAGTTATGGGAGTTCCCAACCTCACGGTGCGTGTACCCGTGCTTCGTTTTGCTTCCGAAGCCATGGTTATGAGTATGCAACTGCTCCAGCTGAGTCTTGAGCAGGATGCTTGGATGTTCTTGAACTCTGAAGCCCGAACACCCTAAATCTTGAACTTAATATTCGGACTAGGGTTTGGGGGGATATGTCCTGGTATAGATATGATAAGAAACCCGCAAAGTAGTATTGGTAATTATCCAGGCCATTATATCAATCTCGAAATCGTAAAGACCCTACCACCAAAAACAGACGCCAACCTTTATAATATGTTTGAATCCTTCTTCGGTCGGCATTGTCCATTTGGGTGGCTGTCAAAATTATGGTCCCCTTTTCCCTATTATAATACGGCACCTATTACTTAGGGTACCCAACAAGGGACCCTAATTTTGACAACCACCCATTTCTGTTACTTGGCATGTCCTCGCGGGTCCGCTCGTTGTCCCTTGCAGGGTTTAGGACTTGCGTGCATTGGGTACTGCCCCCAATCAGTAACAGTTGGATAATATTCATAACATAGATATATGAGGACCTTCATCGTAGCCCTATTATTGACTGTTACTGTATGGGGGCCGTACCCAATGCGTGCATGTTATTGCGCACGGCTTATGATACGAAGGAGTGGTACGCAATAGTAAGTAGAGGCACAAGACTATGCTTGCAGCGATCCTAAACTTAAAGCCGTCAGCCGAGACGTTGCGATTCACATTTCTGAGTAGTGTTTGGCTTAGCCCTTTAAACCCTAAACCACCGGATGCAAAAACGAGCCAAAAACGAGACACGTCGTGGCTGTTTGGCTCAGCAAGGGAACAGGCCGGTAAGCTCTTGTCGCCGAAGGCTCGGAGTGTGGGAGGTAAGGAAAGGTTCTGCGCAGAATTTGTAGGTCCGTTTGAGGGCTCGTTCTCTCCCTCTCTGTCTCCCTCTCCCTCTCCCTCCTCCATCTCTCTCCCTCTCTCTCTATCTATCTCTCTCTCTCTCTCTCTCTCTCTTTCTCTTCCTCTCCCACCCTCTGTTTCTCTTTCTCGCACCGCTTGGAAGGACCATTCAGGGACTCAGGAACCTTGTTCGTGAAAGATTTGCTCCCAGGGTCGGTAGCTAAAGGCATCTGGGAGTTTCCGAAACTAAGGGGTACCTTATTTGGGGGTCCGTTTAATGAGGATCCTACTATTTAGGGTGCTATATGAGGGTCCCCTAATCTTCGGATACTCCCATCTACTGCGAAGACGATGCTTCTTCTGCCAACCATGTTACTGGTAGCATGGTTGCAGTATGACGGCGATTCATGCATTTGGTTATTGATTGGTGTGTTCATTGTCCTCGGGTGTTTAGGTGTTCTGAATATGAACCTCTATATATATATATATACATATATATATATACGTATATATATGCTACCATGTATACATGTATGCATGTATGTATGCATGTATGCACCTATGCATGCATGCATGCATGCATGTATCGTATACTTCAACATGGCATACGAAAATTTCCCAACTGAGCAGGCGCGCCCGTTTATTCTCAGCGACGGGCACTGATGCAGCTGAAGCTTGCAGGAAGAGGGTTTAGGGTTTTAGGGCTGCCAGGGCCTTCCGCGGGGGCGTACATGTTTCTGCCTCGTTGGTTGTGCGCCAGATTGGGAGATCCCCACTAAAGGTATTTTCCTGGCTGTTTCAGATGTTCACGCTAAAACAAAACCCTCTATCTACAAGTTTTCAGTGTTCAGCATTTGGGCTTCTGCAGGGTTCGCGAATGGTCCTGAGAGGGTTTGGGGGTGTGCCCGGGGATTCCGAAGATCTATCGCTGTTGCTTTCCTTCCCGTGATCGGGCTTTGAGTTTTCAAGAGATACGGTTAGCTATGGATTTGGAGGAACATGAAGAGGCTTTGGGGGTGTGGCACAAGGCAGCAATGACAAAACACGAACTATAGGCCCTATAGGCTAATCGCACACCCCGAACCTGAGAGCCACGGCGGAACGAGCATTGCTGTAGACCCTGATCAATAATAAACCCATTTTCGCCAGGGAGTTTTACTATCAGGATCCCGACAAACCCGTGACTTAATAAAGGAGGGTCCGCTGGGGCTAGGGGATATAAATGCAAGACTGCCCGTAAGCGAACCGAATCAAAGCTTCAATTTGTGGGGAGACCTGCAGCGCCTCATCTTTGCCAATCGACCCTTTTAAAGCTCTGTCTCTATGCATCATCCTGAAGCTTGAAGCCCCAATTCCCAAAACTCTGTATCCCAGGTCGGGGTGCAGTGAATATAACAGGCATGAGCCGGGGAACCCAGCAAGATGCAGGGCTTTTGGATGAGGGCTGTTGGCCACAGAGGGGATTTAGGTGTGTTTCAGGTCTCCGGGGTTTAGATTTAGGGTTCAGCCTTTGTAAGTTGGTGTGTAGCTTCAGTCTGTGTGTGTGTGTGGGGCGGGCAGGATGTGGGCAAAACGCCAGACACTAGTGTAGGGTTTGGCTTACAAAAAGCGCCCGCTGAAACCGAAATCTCACAGCTCCAACCCGAAGAGACACGATCCCAATCCCTTTCTCGAAGCCGTACAGATTTGTTGCTGTCAAACCCAGAATTGAGCTCTAACCCTTCAGGGATTCCCGTGACCTTCTACAGATCCAAGGCCCGGCTATCATGGACCCTGCTCATCGTATGGACCTACTTGCTGCTGCGCCGGGGGTCCAGACGTCCCTTGGCGCCAAGGTGTTTCGGGTGTACCCTAGTGTGCACCCAAACCCGACACTAAGACATGAGGGCGGTCTGCTCTGGTTCCATATACTATACTCGAACCCGACGACACATCGGGTTTTACAGCTCATCGACCCCTCAAATCCCGGTTGCAGTACTCTCTTTGAGGCCTAACCAAACTCAGGGACTTGACAGCAAGGATGTCATAAGGACTCGTCCAAGGCTCTTTGTTGTTTGTGTCGGGGGCTGGAAGCTCAGGGGGCTTGGGCGAGAAGTGGTAGCGCTACTGAAACCCCACGAACCCTAAACCCAACCCCAAAAGCACCAAAAATCCGCCTTAAACCCCTAAAGGCCTCGTGCACCCATAGCCCTAACACCCTAAAAGAACATCTTCATTCTTGAAGCTCCGAGGATGAAGGTTGCTCTGTTTGGAGGCCTGGATTTCGGGACTTGGGGTTCAGGGTTTAGACAACATGTCATATGCGTGCTTGTCAAAATTATTATGGTCCCTTTTTGGGGTCCCTATTATCATACGGCAGCTATCATTTAGGGTACCCAAAAAGGGACCATGATTTTGGCAACCACCCATATAAGGAAGTTGCCAGGGCCGAGGGCGCGGGGTCGTTTCTATTCTCACAGTTCCGATCGAGACCTTGGGTTTTTTTGAATTGAAATCATCCCTGAAGCCTGTGTTCCGAAAGGCCGTGGTGTGAAGGCCGTATTCCGCGAAGCCTCATCACCTATTTCAATCCCCCTCTGATTCTTCACGCGTACAGGTGCTGCTTACCCAGCCCTTGAATCGAGTAGCCTCGATATCCTCGATCCCTAAACCCTTGACCATAAGTTTTGCGCCCGATCTCTTCAACAGAAATCACCCCAAACAGTATAAATTATGTAGGTTTCGTGCGGAAATAGCAATTCTTGTTCAATGGGTGATGAGGTTGCGGCGGGCCCTCGTGACTTCTGTGAGGGCTTCCCTTCCCTTGCCGCGTGGCCTTGGCGGATTTTGTTTTGGGGTTTAGGGTGTCTAGGATTTCTAGGGTTCACAGGGTTCAGAGGGGTTTGGGCCATTCAAGCCGAGGATGTTTGTCTGTAACTTGGACGAGCATGTGCGCTACACGGGCACGACGCAACAGACATCAGGGCAAAACGGAGATTAGCATTATCAGTATTATTAAAATTATTGGTATTCTTAATATTATTAGTATTATTTCTATTATAAGTATTATTAGTAATCTTAGTATCATTAGCATCAACGGGCTGGCTCTTCGCTCGACGGTGAAGACCTCATTTCAGAGGCATCTTCAGAGCAGGCGCAAGGAGCTATAAAGAAGTTTTGTCGCATGGCTTGCGAGCTCTATGAGA